TTGACTCAAACTTACGAACCGTAAGGTAATGAGTGTCGAAAAAAGTAGGTGTACAAACGTTCCTAAGTTTTAATATAATTTTTTTTAACAGTACAAATAGCTTGAAGTGGAAAAACAAAAATCGAACGTTTCTGACAACCCGTGCAATGGAGTAGGGGTGTCCGCCAAAAAAATGAAATAGAAGATTCAAAAAGGAGTAAGATTTTGATTAAGGCGTAAGAATTAGGGTTGCCACCTTGCCAATTCCAGAAAACCGGAGTCCGCGGGGGGGATTACTGAAAATTCGATCGTGTTCAAAATGAAGATATCGAATAGCATTCCTGGGGGATTATTCTTGATTTCTGATGAAATAGAAAAAGCTTTAAATTTTAAGTTGAAAAATCTATTTATTTTGTAAAAAATTTGAAAATATATTAAAAAAAAAAGATAATTTTTCAAAGACCGGAGATGAAGCTCAAAAACCGGAGTCTCCGGTGTAAAACCGGAGAGGTGGCAACCCTAGTAAGAATCCTAACTCGAGACCTTCGAGGGGGCATGAAAACCTTGTCGAAGGTCCTTTCCTACTGTTGCGCGATGTATGTAGCAGCGTGACGTGGATTACGAGCTGCACGTTCGCCTGCTTTCTTAATCTGCGAACTTCTATTTTTACGTATACGTACGAATATGCAGGGTAATAAAAGTTTAGAGAAGGTTATGTATTCATGTGGCAAAAAACTGCAATTCTTCAAGAGAAAAGGGCAATAAATATGGCTCCAATTCGCAGTAAGACACTTCCTCTATTGGTTGTTTAAGCAAAATCCACGATTTGTGGGTCCTTGATACCGAAATATTTGTTTACGGTAAAACGCCCGTGTGTCTGTGAACAAATCCAGCTTCTAGGAATGTGTACTGGTTGCCTTCGTAAGAATTTTGGAAAACATTCTTCAAATATTGGGACTGCTTAACATGAACCCCTGGGTCATTTTCACAAATTTCTAAAAATGGCTCCATTTTTTTTCTTTAAATTTCTTAAAGATAGAGATTTTATTGAAGATAAACGATTTTTCAATAAATGAAATTTGGTCTCCATAATTAGTATTTTCATTAACGTCATGTATATGTATGTATGTGTATGTATATATATATATATATATATATATATATATATATATATAATATATATATGTGATGTATTATATATAGAAATAAATAGATATATATATATATATATATTTTATATTATAATATATCATAACATAAATATTTTAAAATTTGGTAGATTCGAGCAATTTTGAGTGATGTAATACAAATAAATTTTTAAAAATAATTGTTTTTAAAATTGGCCTACAATTTCTCTGAAATGATTTCGCAAAGGATTAGTTGTAAATCAATGCTATAAGATAGATAAAACGCCAATACTGCAGTATTTGTTTCAAAAACTTACACAAAGTGTAATATATATATATAATATATATATATATATATATATAATATATAATCATTAATATTCTTACATTACGTTAGAAACGTTACGTTCGTGCATTACGTTTTCCTAAGCAAACCAAATATATTACTTCGCATCTACAGACCTCCAACAAAGAGAGCAATAGATTAATTAATTCTAAAAAAAAAACTGGAGATTTACACTAACGGTCAGAAATCGCTCTTTTGACCATTGTTGTGCGGAGATTTTACACTGATTCTTGGTCGAATCTTGCAAGAAAGAGCAGTTTGTCACTTACTTCATTCCTTCAGTTTGGAATATTACAATAATGTACCTACACGGAATACACTAAATTCAAAGCAGGTTATCGATCAAATAATAATTAACAAAACCACTACTCGATATGAAATGAAATAGAAGATTTAGGGATACAGGTGAGCACGATGCACGATTACCATTATAAAGAAATGCGAACAGAACATTAAATAATACACTACGAGTAGATTGTTTGCTAAAAAGTAAAATAAAATGATTCATCAAATTACACTGGCTGGCAAGAAGAGTCATGGGACGCGGTTTACAATACTGTGATACCGTTGAATATTATTATGATGATAATGATATTTATATGAAATTGAAATAGGAAGATTTAGGATACAGTGAGCACGATGCATCGATTACCATTATAAGAAATGCGAACAGACACATTAAATAATACACATACGAGTAGATTGTTTGCCAAAAAGTAAAATAAATGATTCACTCAATACACTGCTGCAAGAGTCATTGGACGCGGTTTTACAATACTGTTGATACCGTTGATTACTGTTGATATATACTCTCTGGTTGATACAAACGATACATATAATTTTTTTTTTTTCTCCAACTCTTTCCATTTCAACATTTCCTTTCCTCTCCAAAAAAGAAAACTAAATATTTCACGGAAAAGCGATTCTCGGAAACAGAAGGATTAGGACATCATGTAACATAAACGAAGTCTTCTGCAATGTCTAAACATCATAACGTATCTGAAGATGTTCTCCTCTACTTTAAAAAATACAAATCATTAAGAAAAACTCATAAAGCAGGCTAAAATCATGAATCATGATTTTGAATCCAATAACTAAAATAAAAGCAATGTGAATATAGTAAAAAAACATCCAAATCAACTGGAAACCTGTAGAGAATGTTTGTTTTAAAGAAAGTAACTATAGAAATGTAAACGATCCGGCAACAGTGTCTAGTCTCTTTAGCCAATACTTTTTTGAGAATTGGTACCAATCTCACTAAGTATCTTCAGGCACAAAATTAAACATCAATGATTCTCAAAATTTTGGATGCGATGTTAGTTCCGAAACTTCTTCCAATGAAATTCTTATAATAACCGGTAGATTAAAAAAGAAATATTCGGCAGATTTAGATGAATTTCTGATATTGTTTATTAAAGACTTGTGCTCATGCATTATACACTCTTTAACTCACATTTTTAATGTATCCTTATGCTCAGGAATTTTTTCCAAATATTTTTTTAATAGCTAAAGATTCAGCCGCTTGCCAAAAGGCAAGAAAAATGAAATTCAAAATTATCGGCCAATGTATCTCTTGTAGGTTTTAAAAAAAATTAGATACTTTTTACGTACGAATGGAAACCTTTCTTAGAAAACACGACCCGTTTTCAGATTGCCAACATGGGTTCGAAATCCAAAATCTAACGGAAACAAGCCATATTTTCTTTTTCTTAAAGATGTCGCGTCATCCATGAATTCAAACGAAGTACCTATTGGAATAATTTGTAATCTTTCAAAAGCTTTTGACGTCACTTGATCATAACATTTTCCTTTCAAAATTACCTTCGTATGAATTCGTGGTATTGCCTCTAAATTGGTTATGTTCATACCTTAAAACAATGACAATGCTAACACAGGTAGTAAACAAACCGGACCCGCGATAATGCTTTACTGGACGTTTTCCTTATTAGACCGGCAGCACCAATTTCTTGCCTGCCGAAGGTAATTCCTGGAATAGCGATCAAGGAGTTTTCCTAAACATGTGCAGAGAGGGTAACAAAATGATCTTGTAAAAGGAAGATTAATTTTCAGTTTTCTCGAACAAACTTCACCAAACATACAATATACTTGAAAAGCAATTTTCCGCTTGGGCTTCCAGCGGATGTAGCAGTAGAACAGATATGCTCAAATTTTAAGAACATCATTCTTGAAAGCTTAGCAAAGGAAGGTAATTCTAATTCTAAATGTTATCATGTTTGCCACGAGCATTAGCTCAAAGCGAACTTTAATAAATCTATCTAATCTAATCTATCTAATTAAACAACGATCTCATAGGCCTACTGGAATAAATGGAACAATTATGTTCACACCTTCCCCATTTCTTTGCCAATTGCATGTGAAGTCCCGCAGGGAACGATTGTAGGCCCTATTTTCTTCCTACTAAACGTAAACGATATGCCCTCGACGATTAGAAACGGAAGAACAGTTCTCTTTGCGGAAGATATGGATATTCTTAGCAATAAAGAAACTGTAAATAGTACAATATCAGATTTTTCAAATTGGTTCCGTTATAACAAATGAATAGTAAATGAAAAGAAAATGGTTTCAATGCAGTTTTCCATTTCAAATAAACAGCTCTGTACTCAATTGAAAATGAACGGTGTGCCCTTGGGTGATGTTAAGGGAACAAAATTTTTAGTTTTTTCAATTCAGGCAAACCTTAAATGTAACGTCCATTTAAATGAATTGAACACATAAGTTCTTAATGCTACCCTTACAGAATTCTTTCAAATTCAGTCAGCCTCCATACTGCTCGTTGTGTATATTTCGCGAATGTCCTTTCCCGCATGAGATACGACATAATATTCTGGGGACATACTACATCTTAAAGCGCCTAGACGTTTAGAGTACAAAAATAATTGTACGAATACTAAGCAAACCTCACCCTTGTAGTTCTTGTAAGCCTCTCTTTATTAATCTAGGTATCTGACCATTACCTTGTCTCTTGATATATGAATCAGTGTTTTTTGTCAAAAATGACTTAAGGACGGGAATATTTTTTCTGCAAATGCTGATATCTGTGACTACAACACTCGACGTAGGTGACAATATCAACAGCTCACTACAAAAAATTCACACTACCTTACCAGAAGACATTAAACAATTAAATTCGATACAAAAGTTCAAGTTAAAGTATTTTTTTTCTGCAGCACAACTGTTTATAACACAATTAGAGACTATACCGAGCATCCAAAAGGAATGTAATATTACTTTTAACAATGACATTTAATGTATTGTTTACCATTTGGATTGTATAATTCTCAAGAACCTGTAACCCGTATTGTACAATGGGTCAATGGCTAATTTCTTTCATTCCGCAGGCGGACAGATTGTCAGACGAGTATGGCGATCGGGCCTCGCCCATCTACTTATATGAAGGGTTCATACGTTATTTTTACCTACAACTCATTCCTCTTCCTCTTAACAGACAGTGGACCGCGAAGTCCTCAACGAACGCCGGCCGCTTCTCTTAACGGCCCGCGTTCGTTAAGGATACGTGTATTGTGTATATGCTGTGTGTATTGTGTTCGTGAGTTTGGCTGTGTCGTGTTGATATACGTAACAATACAGTATTAGAACAAAGCAGAAAGTCAGACTGTCGGAGAAGCACGCCGACTGGACCTCGCCTCTCAACTCCGTTGTTTCGATTTCTCTGAACGGACAGGGGACTTTGAAGACCTTAACGGACAAAGATCATTAGGAGTTGCTTTTCATTGATCAGCTTTGTCGCGTTGTGTTGATATAAAACTGGCTTTACACTTGCACGAAAATGGCGAGCAATGTTATTTCGCAAAAAAATTTGCCAATATTTCTGATGTTGGCAATATTTCTTGCCAGATATTCCGGTCGTAATGTAAGCTCGTGTGTTTCTATCCTCGGAAAGATATTACCGACAGTTGCTGGGACTAGAATTGGTTTGAAGTATGAGCAAGATATTGCTGGAAGAAGCCAATGATGATCACGGTCACATGCACAGGAAGGACGAAGTACGATTATCAAACCTTCAAATTTTGGTTGAGCTATAGGTGCCCCCTGATTATTAATTTTTTATGTTAAAAATTATTAAGATATAAATCTAATCTAAATCAATTTTAAGATGTACTCGTATAAAATCATTAGTAGGAAATGATATTTTTAAAATTTTACCGAATTAGTAATTGCACTTTTTTATTCAAAGAAAATTACTTTTCTCCCCACGAGAATCGAAATCGCACGAAATCATTTTGTTTCATGAAAAATACTGAGACACTTAATTGCCACAAGCGCTCCTTTTCCTTTCTTAAATTCATCACACGTCCTCACAAATTCGTGCGCGTTACTTCATCTCCTCATTTAGCACGAATAAGTGCGAACCGCAACTCGCTCTTCTGCCTTCCACTAGTTATGTCCGGAAGTGAGGTATTATAACCATTTTCCTCTTGCCCGACCGGTCACCGATGGGCTCGGCAACAAATAGTCCTAATGTAAAACGATCGGCAATATCTTGCCGGAAAGATCTTGCTCAGATCTTTCTGCCGCTCCTTGCTCTTGCTAGTGTAAAGATGACCGCAAGCAGCAGAAACAAATTGCAGAAACGTATTGCTAATGTAAGGACAGCATAGCAGTAAAGAATGAGTAGGGAAAAAAGTAATTAAATTTGTTTCGCCCCCGCAGGTGGACCGGCTGTCGGACGAGTACGCGGACCGGTCGTCGCCCATCATCGTGTCCATCACGGAGAGCGAGGCGGAGCTGCGGGAGGAGGACGAGGACGACCCGGCGGCGGTGGAGCGGGTGTCAGAGCGGGCGGCGGCGGCGGCCCAGCATCAGGCGGGGGCGGGGGCGGGGCCGTACGGCTGCCCGCACACCAAGCAGTCGAAAAAGCGACGGCGCCTGGAGTACGCGGCGGCGCCGCCCACGCCCGAGCCCCCGCCCGCGCCCGCGCCGTCGCGCCGCGCGCTGCAGCCCTGCGCCGCAAGGGACAAGTTTGCCTCGTTCAGCGAGTACGTGGCCAGCCAGCTGCGCGAGCTCACGCCCAGCGCGCAGAACATCACCATGTACGTCATCAACACGGCGTTGTTCAACGCGGCCATGGGCCTCTACGACGACGTGGGCGGCACGCCCGGGAGCTGCACCATTAATCTGATGCCGTCGGCTGTGTACATTCAGGAGGAACCTTTGAGTGAAGACCACAAATGATATATGTATGACTAATTTTGTATTTTTTTTTTGTGTGTTGCTGTAAATGATAATGAATAATCATTTTTGTGCCATATTTTCCCAACATTCCAGTTTTATTTTCGTCCTTTTTTGTCATTCAATTCTTTTTCATCTTCCTCCACCATTTTAGTTTATTGATGGATAATAATATGCGTTTTAGAATTTCATTTCCTATCACACATGCATTAAAAGGAAAAATGCAGTACTTATTTTAAACTTGGTGATATGTTAATAATATACTGATAAATGATACCCCAAACTGCGTCAGAACCAACTGATTCGATTAATACAGTAAATGCTATGCGTTACAGTAAAGAGGTATCATGTTTTCAACATGAAAAGAGGCAGGAGGACGTTTGAGATGACATCGTGCATATTTCGTTTTCTATTTCTGTCACTTTTTCATATGTTTATACCTGTGGAGAATTAACAAATTGTTAATTTATTTTATACTTACACAATAAATGAAATGTTGGACGTTCGTTTCCACCGTTCACCCGTGAACATCCTGATCACGTAAGTGAATCGTAATGTAAAAATGTAAAAGTCATTATTTTTGAATTTAATATCGCATGTATCACAACAATAATATTTTTATTAAACAATAAACATTATCGTTTAACTCGTAAAATATCTTCACTTATTTTGTCTTCCCCTACTATAAAATTACCATTAATTGGCTACAGCTCGTTTTACAATGCTACATTATGATGCAGCTTCATAAAAGGACAGGTTTTCGACTATTGACGGAGCTGTTTTCACACCAATCATTAACTTGAAATTAATAATTAGTCATCGTGCATATATTACATGTCGTGTTCCTACGATAACCCGCTGGGAGGTGACGCTTAAACGCAACGACAAGAAAATAATAAAATTTGATCCGGAGTGAATCAGAAACGGAATTAACTTTGCAAAATGAAAAACAAAAGGCAATGCTATTTATATGCACCTTCTATTAGTTTTCATCTCTCTTAAAAAAGTACTTAGTGAACCGCTATGACAAACTAACACCTCTATAAGTTTACAAACACGCTCGTTCATGTTGTAATGTACTTCATATTCGTTAATACCAACCGTCATTATAGTACTCAATGTACATTGAATTAAACACAAAATGTTTATTTTAATGCAACCTAGAAGATGAACCGTTACATAGAATGGGACTTGCACCAAATTTTCTACAATCGTTTAATGCATACAAGGAGAAAATTTAAAGAAAACATTTGCAGCCGCTTTCGAGAAAAAAAGGTTAACAATTGCTTATTACGCGAAAACTACTCATATTTTCAAAAGACTGTACCTGACCTTACATCAAGATTTGTCTTTAAAGAACAAATTTCATTAAGGAAACAATCTCTATCTTCAATATTGTAGTTGTAAAAAGACGCTGAACAAAATTGTGAACTCATTGAATTTTCGAAAAATCAGAGATTTTAACGAAAATGAGACCCATTTTGTTTGTTTGTTTGTTTTTTCCTTCAGAGTTTCTTACGATCTTCGAGGACCAATTAATCGAAACATTGGAAGCCATTTTTCAGAATATTTGATAATGTTGAGGCTTCGTGTAAAGTACCCCCAAAACTCAAACTATCCGTTTCAAACTAGCAGGATACTTCATCCTGCGAGTCTTGACCTGCGACCCCTTCAAATCGACCGGGGAATGTCAATTTTGGAGAATACTGTCTGAACGGTTTAGGCAGAAGAGTTGAACACAGACAGGACAGACGTTTCGTGGTCAATCGATTTTTCGAGGATCTACAAAACATGGAATTAAGGACTCACGTGCATTGTAACTACACAACGTGCTAGAGGAAGTAATTTGCTCCATGTAGGAATAAGATTTATCCGCTCTTTCGTTACCAGGGACAGGCAATAAAGAGTTATGTCGAAAAATCGCCGTTTTTCAGCACACGATTACAAATATTACAATACTTTCTCTTCTTAGGAATTTAGGCGAGGAAGTAAAAATTATATCTTGGAAAAAAAGTAATGTACAATTTTTGATAAAAAGAGTAACTTTTGTGTAATTTATGCTTCATTAATGTAATTTATTTTAAAATCTTTCAAAAATGACTTTTTCTTGAATTTTTTTTCTCCCGCATATAGGGAAACCAGAGCGCGAGATCAGAGCAAATGACGCTTAAAAATGGCGCAGGTCTCCTTTTCACTGACCTTTCTTATTATTCATATAATCATTTTAATTTGACAATGTTGACGTCACGTGTACAGTTTTCTCTATCTTGGTCGCCAACATCGGAACAGTGATAAACAAAAAGAAGAAGAAATGAAAGAAGAAAAGAGGAACTCGAAGAAGAGTAGTACAATTACTTCTAGGCTGTCCGGGTGACGCCGCGTCGTTGGCAGATAGGCCGACGTTTCGCCTGTCATGTCGCAGGCTTCTTCAGGGTACTGACTTCTTCAGGGTTCGTCAGTACCCTGAAGAAGCATGCGACATGACGGGCGAAACGTCGGCCTATCTGCCAACGATGCGGCGTCACACGGACAGCCTAGAAGTAATGGACTCGAGCAGCGGAAGCCTACGTGTACGAGTAGTACAATTGACAATTGATTGTTTTCGTTGAACTCTCTTCTTCCTTGTGCTATCCTTGCCCCTTACATACACGTGCATTACTCTACCACACACGACGCGAGACCAGTCGGGAGCTTAAGACTTGTCCCGGCTGGGGCGGTGCCACACTTGTGGGAGACATTCGGAAGCCGATGTAGGTCGACGCCGGGTCTTGCCAACCAGCGGGGGACGATTCCCGCCATCGCCCGCGACAAAACAAGAGCACTACTTATGGGATTATCTCAGCCGTTGACGCGCCCGGAATCACTAATCAACATTACAATCGGCTGCGTAAACGAATATTGCATTCGTTCATTTCGTCTCCCTAAAGTTTTGAAAGTTCCGGGAGAAAATGTCCAATTTGCACCCTGTTGATGAGGCCCTGCAAACTGAATTTATAGTTCTCGGATATCATCATGCTCGCGATCATCATCATCATCATCATCTTCATCGGGCTATTGAATAGCGTTACGCCAGTTCGCTAGCTGACAGGCTAAATACTAATAGGGATTGGATTGTGCGACTTTGCCCGTTAGCAAGGCTTACAGACTCAGTCACAATAAAACTTTAACGAAAACCAAAAGCTCGGTGCGGTGTTTAAAACGGACGAAGGAAACATACAGAGTATTGAATATTAAACGAATAATAATAATAATAGTTAATAAGGTATAATAATAATAAAATATTAATGTCATCCGACCATATGCAACACTTTTGCCGGCCAAACATTTGTTCGCAGTGGATATGAATAGCGATGAGTCGTTGTGAATGCGTACATCGTTCGTGCAACCCTCCCCGTCTCTCCCCGCAGGCGCATACTCACACGGAGAGCCCGCTGAAGAGGCGGGCGCAGCCGGGGCGGCGGCGCCGCGTGGGCGGCGGCGGCAGCGGCAGCGGCGCCTCCTTCGAACCTTCCCGCCACCCCATTTGGGCGGTGCGGGCCCTGGCGGGGGCCGAAGCGAGCGTGCTACGCTGTCAATACCCGCGCGCCGCACCACCAGCGCTGACTTGCCGACGCGCGACCGCCTCCTCCTCCTTCCTCGTGCGCATGCGCCCCGCGTCCCGCGCCCACCGGAACCGGAAGCGGCGTTTCCGCCTAGCCCTTATCGGCGACGGCGGCGCGCGCGATGTGGGAACCGCCGCCGTCACCACCGACACCACCAATGCCGCCGCCGCAAATAGCTTCGCTAGAGCCAGGGGAAGGGGGCGAAGGTAAGGGGAGTTGCGAGTGGAACTCCACTCGATCACGCTATAATAGTTTAATATTATCACTAATAGTTTAATAATACTAATATAGTTTCTCTCTCTTCCTCCCACGTCTCTCTCTCTCTCTCTCTCTCTCTCTCTCTCCTCTCTCTCTCTCCTCTCTCTCTCTCTCATACCCACACAGGGAAAATTTCAACACTTTTGGGTTCCCAACAGCCCTTCCATTGGAGTGGAAGGCAAATGCCTACCGCTCATATTAATTCAAATAATCATCTATTTTGATAATGTAGAACGTCACGTGTACAGTGTCTGCTACCCATTGGTCGCCAACATCCAAGCATCAGTGGTAAGAAGAAGAAGAAATGAAAAGAAGAGAAGAGGAACTCGAAAGAAGAGTAGTACAACGCGACGAGAAGAGAATAAAAGATGAAAGAATGTATTAGGAAGTGGAAGAAGAATAGAAGACGTGAATAAGGACGAAGTGGCAAACAGAAAGAAGAGAAAGAAGAAGAAGAAACGGAAGAAGTAAGAGTGCGTAGTTGCCGAAGGGCACGCGAGGCGGCGACCTCGTAAGTAAAAAAGAACCCGCGCCGTGACGTCAGCGGTCGAGCGCTGGCCCCTCCAAAAACGCTGTTTCCTGTGAGATAGGTAGGGACACAAACATAAAACTTCAAGAGAGTGCGTGAACCGGTTGTTGTGATACACGCACGATATACGCGACCGGAGACAAGGAATTTGGGTTACTATGCTATTACGTGGATTTATAAATAAAGTTCGTATATTGTACGTAATTCCAGTGATGGAAAATCTTCTAGTGTAGGTCGTTGTCTACCAGACAAATAAAGGGGGGATGGTGAGGATACCTCCGCTCTGAGTTTGAGATTTATTAGATTTAGATTTATTTAGTAAACAAAAAAACAGTTCAACTGTATGTGACGCGTAGGGGACAAGATCATCTGCGGACGCTTTCTCGAGTTCCAGAATCCCTTCCCATCATTTCAACTGTGCAATACAATACAATAGATGAAAGATCAGTAAAAGTTAAAAATAAATAAATAAAATTTAAAAAAGCGCGAGATTAGCAACATTTTAAAAACTAGAAATTTTCGTTCCCGAGTTATTGAAAAGTTATTTGCAACGGTAAACGAACTTCATATTTGATTTTTCTGCATTGCTAACTAAATAGTAACCCGTTCCCTCT